GGGCGGATGCGACGGTTTCTTCCTTGGCTGTTAGCGCCTCCGTGCGGCAATTGGCGAGCGAGCGATTTACGACCCACTCTAAAGTTTATTCGACGCGATTTTGGTGGTCCCATTGTATTCCGCTAAGTCCCTACCCACCGACGGCGACGGGGCCCAGGCTTAGCGCTGCCTCGAGAGGCCTTTTATGGCATCTCGTTTTTATAGTCTCCTTATTTCATTTGCATCGACGTTTAAATCGCATCGTTAAAGTATCAAATTCAAACATTTGACATTTAAATTGAACATCAAATATGAAGGAATGTTCATTTGGAATTTATTGCCAAATACAATGTGTGTGTTTTACTTGCTTAGTCTAAACTGTGTTTTGTTTGCGATCCAAATGTCAATGTTTGTTATTTCGATTCCATCGATTTCCCTTTAATAATAAAATTATACAGCATTAATTTCAACAATTATTTCTCATACATGAAAACTTTAAGACTACTACAGTATTGAACATAAAGCTAAAGTGTCCGATACATCAATAATATTAATATAATGTACAATTTCTGGGCATTTGCTCTATGCTAAGCTAATCTTGTAAGGCTTTTAATGAAAACTTAGAAGGTTTCATTTGCATTAACTTGGCTCGTGTAGCGTCACTGTCGGCGACATCAAACGGTGCGATAAGTGGCCGGTGAGTGATAAGGGGAACGGTAGCCGGCCAACGGATTTGTCGTACGGTCAACACAACTCCTATTGAATGTACATATTTGTATTTCAGCTGAGTGTCTGTCTGTTTATTTTGGATTCTTTATACACGTATTGGTTGTAAGTTTAACGATTGACGTAAAGTAACAAAATATAACAAGCAATGTTTATTTAAAACGATTGTGTTATTTCAATGAATAGTATTTTTGGAAACTACTTTATTGATATTTAATCAACAACTCTAAAATTATTCAATGTTTTAAATACCTATTGCTACAGGAGTCTATAAGTTTTCAAGTATGTTAAAAAATAAGAAAACACTAACTGCTATTTTCTAATTTTAATAATGCATTCAATAGACGATCTACAGCAAATTGACATTAAGGCCTCGCAGGAATCATCTATCTGATATTCAGAAATCTGAAGGAATAAAGAAAGAAAAGTCTTGGTTGCATTCACGAAAATGTTGCCGTGAGTTTATGTACAAAAACGTATTATCCCACATTCAATTTGTGTTTCATTGTTGGTGTTAGCCACTACTACTCACAGTTCTTACTGTGAGTGCTCTAACCCTAGTTAGATATTTTCTCAAGACTTGTTTGCAGTCTGTACTGTATCGATACACGTAAGGCGGTAGCGGTGCTCGTAAACTTTAAATGGGGGCTAATTTAGTGTGTTGTTAATTGAGCTTCTGTCGGCGTGTTATCGGAGGCTGCATTAGCGAGGGAGGCGGCCGGCGCCCGCGCAACTCTGATACCAACATGTTATGACGGATGGTCCGCTCAACAGATACCACTCTGTGTGGAAACTGACGCGATGACAAAGGCATACGATTGAATATTAATGTATTGAAATGTTTAATATTGATAAGTATGGAATTTCTTAAATTATATGGAGTGAAAGGTGTATTATGGAATTATTTTCATAATAACTTTATGGAGAATGCTCAGGAAATCTATCTGATTTAAGTATGAGATTTGTTTTAAAAAATTGCACATATTTATGTACATATTTGTCTTCCTTCATTTTCCTATTAAATTTTACATAGCGACGTTAGTAAGTTTATTTAGGCAATTTTATATTCCGTTGTCATATCTTAAATACGATACTC